CAGGGAAGTATATCAGACAAAGAGAATGCAACATGTTATCTGTGTAAAATGGACTTTTGATAGCGAGTATATTATGTGTGGGTCTGATGCAATGAACAATTGTCTATGGAGAGCTCATGCTTATGAAAAATTGAGTGTGCTTACATCATGAGAAAAAGCAGCCAAAGATTATAACCAGAAGTTGAAGGAGAAATTTCAACATCATCTTAATATAAAATGTATTGCTCGTCACCAACATCTACCAAAATCTATCTACAGCAAGACTCAAATACAGCCCATCGTGAAAGAAGTTCATTGACAAAGGGAGTGAATCATCTCAAAGAACAAGTCTGTGTCTGTGCTGATCATATCAGAGAAGAAGTACACAGTAGCAGTTGTGAAATAATATTTGGCATTCCTACCAATATTGATGTGTGATTATTTGTTACATTTAGATTTGCAAACTTTACAAATAAAAATACAGTTAATCCTTGAACAATATGGGTTTGAACTGACCAGAGCCACTTACATATCACATTTTTTTCAAAAAATACACAGTTGGCTCTTCATATACCTGTGTTGTGCATCTGTGGATTCAGCCAAACTTGGACCAAAACAGTATTTTCTATCCGAGGTTGGGAATCCTCAAATGTGGAGGACCCACTGAAGTTATATGTGGATTTAAAAAAAAATACCTTTTATTGATTTGAGAGGGAGAGAGAAATAGAGAGAGAGGGAAGGAGAGAGGGAGAGAGAAACATTGATTTGTTGCCTCCCATATGCACCTGACTGGATATGGAACCTGAAATCTGGGTATGTGCCCTGATGGGGAATCGAACCCTCGACCTTTTGGTGCACAGGAGGACACTCAGCCTACAGAGCCACACTAGCCAGGGCTATATGTGGATTTTTGACTGCTCAGGGGGTCAGCTCCCCTAATCCCTGAGTTGTTCAAGGGCCAGTTGTACAGGCTCTAGCATAACCAGCAGTTATGCTAGTGTCGAGTTTTATCGTTGCACATCTTAGCTATCCTGAAAAATTACCGGCCCGGCCGGGTGTGGCTCAGTCGTTGAGCGTCGACCTAGGATCCAGGTGATTGGGTTCGATTCCTGGTCAGGGCACATGCCCTGGTTGCGGGCTCGATCAATGACTCTCTCATCATTGATGTTTCTATCTCTCTCTCTCCCTCTTTTCCTCTCTCTGAAATCAATAAAGATATTAAAAAAAAAAAAAGAAAAATTACCTTTAAAAGGTGGTCTAGTTGATAAGACTATCCAACAATTTATCCTTCATCTGCTTTATTTCATTGAAGAACATGAAGTATTTGCAAACTAACTTATTTTTTTCTGTTAGAAATTGCAAATATACTTTCTCTCTGATCTATTATTGTAGACACTACACATATAAATTTACATTTAAGACCAAACCTCTCTTGTGTTACCTTTAATATTACTTTGAGTAATTATTGCGATGATTCTTCCTAGGATTTCACATAACATGTAGAAGAATTATGTCAGTACATTTTTCAATTGAATCTATTTTCTGTGCTTTATATTTGGCTTTTTGAGACTTTAAAGATGATGAGCCTGCATTTATGTAACTTTCATAAATGATAATAATTATAATTCATCAAGTCACAATAATAAAACATCTTTTTTCTCAGCAAAAAAAATAATAAAAGAAAGAAGTAATACTATCTCTAATTTCAGATGACATGATCTGATATATAGAGAATTACAAGGAATCCCATAAAAAATACTAGACATACTAAATGAGTTCAGCATGATTGCAGCACACAAGATAAATATACAGAAATCAATTGTATTTGTATATACTTGCATGAACAATCCAAAGATAAAACTAAGAAAACAATTCCACTTATGGTAGCTGGAAGAATAGAATATTTAGGAGTAAATATAACAAAACCAGTACAAAACTTATACTCTCAAAACTACAAAACAGCCCTAGCCTGTTTGGCTTAGTGGCTAGAGAACGGACCCATGGACTGAAGGGTCCCAGGTTCAGTTACAGCCAAGGGCATGTACCTCGGTTGCAGGGTTGTCCCTGGCCCTGGTCAGGGTGTGTGCATGAGGGAACCAATCAATGTGTCTCTCTCACATTGATGGTTTTCTCTCTCTCTCTCTCCGCCCCCCCTTCCACTCTCTCTGAAAAGAAATGAAAAAAATATCCTCTGGTGAGGATTAAAAAAAAGAAAAAAAACAAACTACAAACATTGTTGAAAGAAATAAAGATATATAAATAACTGGGCAACATCTCATCTTGGATCGGAAGATTTAGCATTGTTAAAATGGCAATACTCAACAAATTGATCTGTAGATGACACACAATCTCTGTCATATTCCCAGACGACTTTGTAGAAATTGAAAAGCTAATTCTAAAACTCATATGAAATTGCAAGGGACCCAGAAGAGCCAATAAACAATTCTGAAAAAGAACAACAAGGTAGAGGGACTCATAGTTCTCTATTTATTTATTTATTTATTTATTTATTTATTTATTTATTATTTATTTAATTTTTTTAAAAATATATTTTTATTGATTTCAGAGAGAGGAAAGGAGAGGGAGAGATAGAAACATCAATGATGAGAGAGTCATTGATCGGCTGCCTCCTGCACACTCCCAACTGGGGATGGAGCCCACAACCAGGGCATGTGCCCTNTTGATCGGCTGCCTCCTGCACACTCCCAACTGGGGATGGAGCCCGCAACCCGGGCATGTGCCCTCACCGGGAATCGAACCCCAGTCACCTGGATCCTAGGTTGACGCTCAACTGGTGAGCCACGCCCAGCTGGGCATCAATTTAAAAACTTGCTGCACAGCAATGATAATCAAGACACTGAAGAAAAGGGACCCCTGGTGCACTGTTTGGTGCACTGTTGGTGAGAATGTAAATTGCCGCAACAGCTATGGAAAACAGTATGAAGTTTCCTCAAAAATTTTAAAAAAGAACTGCCATACAACCCAGCAATTTCTTTTCTGGGTAATTATCCAAAGGAAATGAAAACACTTAAACATGATAAGATATATTCACCCCCAAGTTCATTGCAGCATTGTTTATAATAGTCAAGGCATGGAAGCAACTTGTGTCCATCGATAGATGAATGGATAAAAAAGTGTCACACACACACACCCCACTGGAATATTATTTAGACATAAAAAGAAGAAAATCTTGCCATTTGTGACAACATGGATAGATCTTGAGGGCATTATACTAAGTGAAATAAGCAAGATAAAAACAAATATCCTATGATCTCACTTATATGTGAAATCTGAAAACACAAAACAAAAAAATGAACTCATAGATACAGAGAACCAATTGGTGATAGCCACAGGTAGGGGGAGGGGGCGCCAAGTGGATGAAGGTGGTCAAAAGGTACAAACTTCCAGTTATACAGTAAGTCCTGGGGATGTAATGCACAGCTTGGTGAGTAATAATACTGTATTGCATATTTAAAAGTTGCTACGAAAGTAGATATTAAAAGTTCTCATCATGAGAAAAAATTGGTAATTATGTATAGGTGATGAATGTTAAGTAGACTTATAATGGTGATCGTTTTACAATATATACAAACATTGAATCATTATGTTGTATTCCTGAAACTAATATGTTCTATGTCAATTATACAGCAATAAAAAAGGATAATTGAACCTAATATGCAATAAAAGGAGATTTACAGAAAAATAGACAAATAACTACTATTTAATGACTATTTTAGGAACAATTCTGTTTCAGTTTAGAAAAATATTAACTTAGATCCTATATATTGCAACAAATTCCAGATGGATAAAAGACTTGATAACAACAAAACACAGTAATACATATTCTGACTCTTGGTGGGGGAACACATTCTGAATATTGAAGAAAGAGGAAATACTTTCAGAATATATTTCTGAATACATAAAAGCTTAAAAAAGCTTTTCTGCAATTAACTATTGAAATCAAGTAACAGAATGAAGAAAAATTACAACATAATAAGCTAATAAGGAATATTTGTAATATTTTAGCAAATACTTGCATGCATACGTATACAGACTTACGTATATAAATATATATGTATTGTTTATAAAGATATATGGTATATACATATATAAATATAAACATATGCTCTATATTCATATCTAGATACTTTGTTAAGGAAGAAATACTAAGGAAATACAAACATACAAGCACATGGCATTGTCGTGGGGAAAACATAACATCCCATGGCAAATGTATTAATTTAAAAATGTACTACATTTAGTAAAGAAACTTGCAAAGAAAATTTAAGAGCCTAATTTTGGTAGACAAATGGAAAAAAGGTGCAAACACACATTGTTAATAGGCTTGAAAGGTCATTCCTAGGCCTGGGGTTCTCAGTTTTGGATTCTGACAGGGCTCAAATCCTGCTCAATACAGTGCCTATGGTCTGGACTGGACACTCATGTTCTCGGGAAGCCTCTGCCTTGGTGACCCATCAAACCTTCTGCTCTCTGCTTGTCCTGAAGTGTTTCCAGACAGGATAATTCCTGATATTTTTACTTTCCAGACCAAACTAACTTCTACATTTAGGCTCAGGTCAGGTCAGGGTGGGTTAAAGAAAAAGCTCCCTTACTCAGTTGTCAACTTGGAGTCATTTGGAAACAGGTTTTTCATTTCTGTCACAGACTTGGACAGGCATGTTTTTTGTTTTTTTGTATTTTAACAAATGTGAACGATTTGGAATTTAAAGGGGACATCGGTAATACTTTCAACAATAAAGATAATTTTTTTTTTTTTTAAAGGTGAAGAAACGGAGTTTGTCAGCTTCAGGATGAAGTTCATCTTGAAAGTTAAAGCTTGGAGGAACTCTGGAGCTTGGCAGAGTGCCATCAGCGCAGAGGACGGTGGTGAGTTTTAGCAGCTGGACATGTTTTGCACTTGGACACACGGACACGCTCTGCACGTGGACACACGAGCACGTTTTTCACGTGGACACAGATCTCGCCCACGGACACAGGTATCGCCCGGGCTAGGCAACAGCAGAGCGGACGCGGGTGACCACGACGCGGCGCTGGCCCCGAGCCGCGGGCGGCGCGCCAGCACGGCCGGGGAACTACAATTCCCGGCGCTCGCGGCCACCTCCGCTGGAGGCCCTTGCCCCCAGCACCGAGAGTCACCCGGATTCGGCGCTGGGAGTGCGTGGCCGCAGGCGGCATGGAGTCCCAGGCGCCGGACGCCTGCTTCCTGGGAGACGTGGGTACGTGCGGGGCGCCGCGCTGGGGCGGGCGCCGGGCTCGCGCGCAGGGGTTACGCCGCCGGGGG